GTCCTCAGTGCTCAGTAGGACAAAGCAGAGGGAAACAAACAGAAAGGACTCAAAGTCTGGTAAAACTTCCCAGACATGAAAGGAGAAGGAAAAGATGGGTGTACGTATGTGAGAGAGGGAGAGAGAGAGAGAGAGAGAGAGAGAGAGAGAGAGAGAGAGAGAGAGAGAGAGTTTTTCTGGAAGTGTAAGCTGTGGCCAGATTATGTAAGAAGAAAAGGGTGGTGTTAAAGAGTTGGATTTTATGTTAAGGGCAGCAAGAAATCCTGATCAGCTCCCTAAATGGCTGTAAGCAGGAGGGATGGCATTGACATAGCACAGTAGTTAAGAGCTGGGGTTACAGACTCAGACTGTCTGAGTTTAGATTCCAACTCCGTCACTCAGTAGTTGTGTGACTCTGAAGAACTACTTAACCTTTTGTGCCTCTGTTTTCTCATCTGTAAAATGGGGATAATAAAGTAACCTACTTTATAGGATTGCTGTGAGAACCAAATGAATTCATACATCAAAAGTACTTAAAACAGTGCCTGGCAGATAGTGAAAGCTCAATAATTGCTAGCTATTAACATTAGTGGATTTGCATTTTTGGAGGACAGTTACAGAATGAAGATGAGGAACATAAATTAGATCTGCAGCATTGAACTTTATCTTCCTTTTCCCCAATTCTATAATATACTTCATGCATGCTTTGCAATGATAATTTGGAGGTTTACTAAGGAAAAGAATAAAAGCCTGTTTTCTTAACAACATTAAAATAGGAAGAAATTTTCATTTTCCTATATGGTACAATCTAAATAGTATGAACTAGATGACTCTGAAACTCCTTGTCCTCACTCACTAGGATTCGTTTTGATCATTAAGACTGATGAAAACTAAGTACTTATTAAAAGGTAAACTAGTGTTTAACGTGCCAGCATCACCCCAAAGGCAGAGTTTAGAATACAGCATAACCCTTTCGTGTCCTTCTCTCCTCCAGAATGACACAATAGACACCTGCCTACAACTGTGCCTGTGATGAGCTGCACCACTCTTAAAAGGGGGAAGGAGAGATGGGCAAATTTAAACTTGCACTAGGCACATACAGATCACTGAATCCCAAACATATACTCACATAGGCATTTTTACTAATGCTAAACCCATCACGACTGACTGGAGACAGTCCATGAACAACCGTGAAATTGAAGTGCATGAATTTTAATTTTTCAAGTCACTTGGCTTGCTGTGAAGCAGGAAAAAGCACAGAAACTCAAAAGAGCAACATGTTTTTTAAAGCTATAAAATATAAATTAGCTCTGTTGTAGGAGATTCATTTTTTAAAAAATTAAGTAGGGTAGTGGGGCATTAATAGGTCCAGTGGTCTACATAATATTTTCTAATTAAGAATTCTACATCCTCCCAAGGAAAACTCTGTCAATGGTACACCAAGTACCAAATCCTAAACTCCACATATCTGTTAAAAAAAAAAAAAAAAGCATATGACATTCTCCATATATTCAAAATGGTTCTGATATGACTGGAACTTTTCTTAGGTTCACGCTGATGTACAGAAAGCAGTGGAGCGGAGGGACAGCCAATGAAGTTTTGAACAATTATCCATATAAATATTCTCAGGCAACAAAGACGTATAGAAGATATGAACCTTTTTCTCATTATCTAAGGTTAAAATAGAACTAATTTTCCCTCTTGAGTAATGGACTCAGCTCACTGAGGTAAATTTCTCATGCAAAACACAAGTAAGTTCAGAGTTAAATGAATTAAAACTACATTCAAATGCAAGATACACTTAAAAAAATGCCAAATCTGCACAGCAAAAGTCCAAGGTGCATAATAAAGTATTCTAAGTAAAATGTGACTTAAAAAGAAAAAGGTGTTAGAATATTAAAATTAAATCAAAACAAAAGATATTCTCAAGTAGATATATGACCTTCTATTGTATATGTACTTCCTCCATACTGTATACATAAATCATAAAGATTTAGGGCCCAAAAACCTAGCAGCAGGAAAATTTCTTGCTGAAGATCATAGCCTCTATGGGAAAAAACAGGGTTGGGAGACTTCACTGGTGAACCTACAAAAGTCCCTACATTTTTTAAATTAAATAATGAAGATGGCAAACAAAGAATATCAATGTTTAAATTAGTGCTGTGTGTGGTTAATTCCTAGTTATCATGCCTTGCTTATACGGTTTCAAGATGTCCCTCCACCAGTTTCCAATACGATGGTTTTACATTCACTTGGCTTTGTAGTAGTTAATATTCCATTCTTCCTTTTCCAATGCCTGGTCTTCCATAATTATTCAATGCCCTATTACATTACTGAGTTGTTGATTCTCCCACTTCCTGAGCTACAAAATGGCTCTCGGTTATCTTTACATTTTATAATTTACTACTGAAGAGATAGTTCCTGAGTCTTCTTTCCAATATTTAAAGTCACATGGTCTTAGCACTACATCTTAACAACAAAACAGGACACAATGCTTTCTAACATGGGTCCTTTATCTCTCGTACATGCCTTCCTCTCTGCTGAAGACATCCAAGAATAACTCTAAGGCTAGACGGTTTTTGTCTCAGGTTTCCTTCTCTCACCCAAGGCTAAGTTACAAAAATCATTACTCCTATCTACAAGTTTGCTGTACACCCAATGGAAATAATTCAAACTAAAATTCTACAGCAGCAGAAAAAGTACAAAGTATTTAAAAATATACCAAATGCTGAGTAAGAAAACATTTGGCGTGAGGACACAGCTCTTCTATCACACATGCTTTACTAGGAACTCCGTTCACCATGACTTCCCTATGTCTACAGTGCAATGGAAATCAATGGATTTGATGCTGGCCTACAGGCCTACTTGAGCTTACAGGGCCCGGAAGTATGTGGAAACAAAGATAGCATTGTGTAGCATTCAGGACACAGAAACTATCGCAACGCTTGACTAAGAAAATATATAAAGGCAGGCCTGAAGCTTTACGGGTTTGAGGTCCTCTGATACACACGTGGGACATATACGAGGGACAGGGTTTCCTCACAGGCCCTGTCTCACTGGGATGCCCTATGCTAAGCATCAGGAAGCGAGAGGACTTCCTGGGCTTCCTCCAAACCCTCACAGCCTCAGATAAAACTGCAAAACGGATCAACTTTGTTTTTATGGTCCACAGAGACTATTTAAGAATAAACTTAATGACATAACAAAACAGTCCAACTCGTCTTTAGTTCCTGTAATGTACTATTAATACATGAGTATTTCAGAGTGATTGATAACTGCTAGCAACAAAATATGCAAGTTATCAAAAGAGGTAGATGGTGTACCAGGTTGGGGAGAGCAGTTTACTTCTGTAAGATACTATATTCCTGCTGCAGGGTCAGAGAGGGAGGAAAGCATCCTGATGATCTTCAAAAAAGTTATGAGTATAATTTTAATACCAAAATCCAAGGGTAAAAAACTAAAGATAAAACTACGTTCTAACCGTAACATATAATTATAGATGCAAAAGTCTTAAATAGAGCACTAGCAAACTAATGTAAAGCATTTGTTTAAAGAATAACACACTATACCAACTCAAGTTCATCCTAAGACTACAACATGGTTTAATACTTAAAATTTATTAATGACATCAACAGGAAAAAAATCTAAGATGATCTCAGTATAAGCTGAAAATCATTTAATAAAATAGTCTTGTTATAAAATAGTAAAATAACTGGGAGAAAGATCTTTATTTTTAATATTGATTTTAGTATTAATTTTAGATTTGCAGTTAATGGGAATAAACGATGAAAATAAAACAAACACGCCAAGTATCACCAGGAATTTATAATATTGTTCTGGAAACTCTGACAAATGCAGTAAGAAATGAAAGTTAATAAATGAAAATTAGATTCTCAGAATTAGATGTTGACTAGATAAAAGAGAAATGTACTTAAATCAACAGCTTTCCTATGTATCAGAAACAAGTTAATTTATTAACAGAACATTCAGTTCACCAGAGCAAAACAAGAATCACATACCTAGAGTAATCTCAGTAACTAATTTGGTGCATGTGTATACACACACGCATATATAAAACAGATTAAGAACTTTACTGAGGGCCGGCCGAGTGGCGCAATGGTTAAGAACTGGCTTGGGACGCCAGAGGGCCCCGGTTCGGATCCCACATATGAGGGCCAGTGACACTACCCTC